CTCTCTCTCTCTCTCTGCGAACGAAAGAAAGGGAAATAGAGTATGGAGAACGAAAGAGGAGAGAGAGAGACAGAGATTTCGATCGTAAAGTTCGCTTTTCGAAAGGAAGATTTAGAGACGTGTTTAACGAGTTATAAGCTGGTATAAATAATGGACTCGCGCAGCGCAGATTTCCACCCCGATTCTCCGGCTAGTTCGACTTTACGAAATTTCTAATAAGAATTTATCGGTTTACGTCCTGGACCAGCGAGGATGTGACGTAAGCACTCTTTTAACTTCTGCTCGATTTTCTTCTTTCCCAAGATTATTTTGTACATCGGCGAGCTTCTTTTCTTTAGTATAATGGGTATGAACTATGGCTACGTGTACACTAGGTTTACGAACTTTCTAAGGGTAATTAGTAAGGTACAACACTTATTCTATACTAGAGATACTCTAAACTAAATGTATCTAAGAGTAGTTCTGTTCGTTGGAACTTATTGTAACAATACTACACACTCAACGAGGCAAACATATTTTCCAAGGTGAACCAGCCCTCCGACAATTTCCCGACACTTTCCCGGAGTCAATACCGCTTCCACCGAATATCTGTCCGTAACAATGCAGCTACGGCCGCGCGCGTCCTCTTCTCTCCAGCCAGGACAGCGGTAATTGAATTTTAAATGTGGCTAATTAGGTCACCGGTGGAGTTGCCAATGTAACGCTACGATGTAAAATTAAAATCCTCCTGGAGACTCGTGTGGACCTTGTCACAATTTAAAAAAACAACAGCGCTGTATCGATTCGTTTACTGCACTTTCGACAAACAAACGAGCGTCCTAAGCTACGTACACAGGGTGTTTCCGAACTGGTGGTACAAGGGGCTGGCTCTACGTGCAAGAATAAGTGGAAGAAAAAGAATAACACTTTTTCGTATCGGGCTTCGTTTCCGAATAAATCAGCGTCGAAGACCTACCGAGTACACGTACACTCGCACATGATCTCACGGCATACGAATACCGCTGCGTTGCTCGTGCTGCTGTCTTATTTATCACGTTAGGTAATACTAAGAGATGAACGTTGAAATAAAATTATTTCTTGCCGGCACAAGCACCCAACGCGAGAATCGTATCGGTTGTACACTCTCGATTACCGTATGTTGCCGTATCGACGGAACGACGAAGACTGAAAGCCCGACACAGGAATGATAACAAGCCACGACATTGGTGATGTTTACAAATCCAAACGCACTAAGGCTCGTCTACGGTATAATCAAGTACACGCGCACTTGGTAAATCTTCGAAACACTGATTTATTCGGAAACGAAGCCCGATATGTAAACAACCGACGGAAAAATTTTGAAGGACCCAACTGCGGCTTAGCAAGCCGAGGCTTTGCGCGCTACGCCAACTGCTGTTTTACAGTTTACAGTTTAGTTTTTATTTGTATTTTAGGTGCTTGTACATATTGCATAGTTCATTTTATAATAGATATAATATTGCTCTTAAATTTTAGGTTGCGTTACCTGTCCGGGGACATTTGGCGCATATCCTGTTTTTCTTTTCGTTTTTCTTCGCTTTCCAGTGCTTATTGTGTAGGTACTGAGAATTGAGCTGCAACGATTAATGAAAACCACGCCAACTACTCCCTCTATACTTTTCCTGCTCGGTTTCCTATTAGAGGCCACGATACTACTGTAGGGATGACCGAGCGTGAGTGCGTTGTTTGTATGAATGCGTTGTCTGTGTGAATGCGTGAGGGTCTATGACCGGAGCGGTAAGGACCGGCGTGCCAGGTCGAGTGTTTGGGATAGCGCGAAAGATATTGAACGAATGTTTAGTTTTAGTAATCAGGCGAGGAGTGCGTGAGTGCGTGTGTGTTTTCTTCTATCGAAAAGTGTGCATGTATGCAAGATGACATTAGGGTGAATGCGAGGGAGCGAAGGGCAGTATGAATCCAGCGATCGATTGAGCGACATCCTTAGCGTAGCACGTAGCGATATAAAGTATTAATAAATATAGTATAGAACAAAGTCCGTTCGAGTTTACTATCCCTCCTCACATAAATCCCCTACACTACTGTAAGGCGCCTTGCGACGCGCCTAGGCAACGACCGCGGGGGCCCTAGACAAGGAGCAGCGCAGGCTCTACCCCACGGCTTGCAGGGCCCTAACGGCCGAAGAAGCATACAAATGTCTGTTATTTATTTTCATATCTGTCATTTTAAGCGCCTGTGATTCTTTACTCTTACACTACAGATACGAAAAAGTGTTATTCTCTTTTTTCGACTTACTTTTGCACGTCGAGTCACCCACTTGTACCATCAGTTCAGAAACACCCTGTATATCTCTTCCAGCAACTACGTCCCGCGCGTCTGTGTGTTCGATCGACCGTCCTTGTATTCCAACACGTTTGCTTAATTGTAAATGGAAGGATACGTGGGTGAATAGAAAGCTAAAACGTAGTGGATCGATACGTCAAACTCGAAGGTCCCGCATCCGTCTTATCTGGCCAGATAAGGCGGAAGGTGGTCCCATTGGAAACTGGTTCGGTGGCGCTTAACGTCCGGTTCAGTGAGTTATTGCCCGGCGCGGTCGGGTCATTAATAATTCGCTAATATTAAGATTGATTCGGAGGCAGGGAAAGCGACGAGCACGCGGCGCGATTTCACCAAACTTTACCGTACACGCGACACAGTCAATCATCCAACCTTTCCCGTATATTACGATCAAACTGTGCGACAGTCACGCGCGATACTTGACTTGGAAACACACTCCGGCAAATCCAAGCTCGAGGGTGTCGTTACGTTTCGTTTACCATTTTCCGATCACTCTCGGTCTCTCTGCTAACGAGCTCAAGGGACGTGCGAAATATTCACCTTTTCGCTAATTACCAAAACGAGAGGAGAAATTTCGTTTTATTGGAAATATCTCGAGTTACCTTTGTCACTTCTGCCATTTCATTTTTTCTCTTCCTCCTACAGCTGGATGGGTGAAATACTTGATTTCGGGAAGTATTTTGCAAGGAATGCGAGATTTAAGCGGCCAAGTGGTGGCCTGGTCTTCGTCACACAGGGTCACCGGAAGAGGAAGCGCGCGGATACTTTCGCAGGACAGGAGGCTCTACCGGTTCTTCGGAGCAACGCGGGATATAACTTTCGTTATATTCGATGGCACCCGAGCCATCTCAGCAACCGCGGATATTCCAAAATATAGTACACCGAGTATCCCGTCTAGAATTCGAGCGTGTTCGGCGAAAAACTAGGGAACAAAGATCTCGTCCCAAGTGTAAATCCGCGACTGGTGATCGCCTCTGGCGAAGGGCGAGCCGGCTTGGTCTAACAATAATCCACAGTTCTGGGAGAAAGGTAGGGCTGCGAGGTAAAATCTTGAAGCTTAATGGCGGTAATACCTTGGTGGCCGAGCCTTGTACGGCGTTAATAATGCAGCATATTGAGATTGGTTTCGCTGCGAGAACACCGAGGCCAGAGCCACAGGGACCTGACCTAGGTGTCCGCCCAAGTTATTCGCGCCACTTTAATAATACACCCGCCAATGTGCACACACCACTGGCCCACCTAATGCAAAGATTACATTCAAGAGCTTCGGTCGAGTATCCGCGTAATTGCCCGCGAGGAGACAGTCCCTTCCGCCTTAAATCCACAGTCACTCCCCGAAAAATATTCAGACACTATTTGGTTAATTACAAACAGATTTTTCCCTATGACACGTCATTTGTCGTACTTAATTTAACAGATTTTCGCGGATGACAATGTCCAATTACTATTCATGTTACACAAATATCCGGATACTCATCAAAAATGAATGTTTTAAATATTCATGGTATAATGTCCGTATTATACATATTCATAATACTTTCAACAACGTCACCAGGATAAAAATGGTAAAGCAAGGGGTTAAACACAGGGGAATTGGTAATTTTTTTCAAATATATTTAACGTTATGAATATTTTTACCTTGCACCGTGTTTAATAATTATCCCATCAATGTCCGAATATTTTTTAAACTACATATACAGGGTGTCTCAGCTGATTTTGACATCTTGATTTTCTCGCTATTATCACTCAAAGCGAAATATGTTTCAGATGAAAATGAAACTTTTCCACTCGTGAAAGAATTAACAACACCAGAATATGGCCCCTTCGACAACCGTATAAATTTCATCTGAAACATTTTCCGCTATGAGTAATAATAACGAGAAAATCGAGATGTCAAAATCAGCTGAGACACCCTGTATATCATCTTCGACCCTTGATTCGACATTATTCTAACAATAGATCGATAACTGGCAGAGAATGGAAGGAAAGAAAACCTCGTTGCCTTTTTCTACGAACTTTAGTCGGAGCGAATTAAATCGAAAATCGTGGACTTTGACATGGAATACCTGCTACTTTGATCAGATCAAAGATCCATCGCTCACCTTTACAAGTATCTCTTCTTACGGTGGTGGGGGCGAGCGCATGGAATAAGAGTGTCTGAAAGGACGGGGCTCGCGATTTTCCAAGAGAGATTTAACCGGGGACGCAAAACGGACGTCGTTAGCGTGTCGAGGAGGTTTCGTAGCCTGGTTGCGGGTAGAAAACGTATCCTTTCCAAGGAACAGGACCCACGTTCCCTCTATAGTGTGCCGACCAAGCGTAAAGCAATCGATACGGACGCGACACTCTCGCCTAAACTGTTTGGACTACCAAGGCAAACCCCTTGATCTCCCGTGGAATTTAATGGTCCAGTGTCAGCGTCTATTAAATGCTCGTGTCTTTCATAAATTACACGGATAATTTTACCCCGGGAAAACTTTTCGACCGTTTAAATTCTCCAATATCGCCAGACGAGAGAAAGAGAGAGAAAGAGAGAGAATTGAAGGGGAACGACTTTAAACGGTAGAATTGGAAAATAAGACACGAACGATAATGAGTTCGACGAAGAGGGAAGCGTCAGAGAGGACCTCTACGTGATATCGATTTCGGGTCTCGAAGTGCAATATATTCAATGAGGTTCTCACCTTCTTTGTTGGCGCTGCTCTTGATCTCCGTGGCCTTCGGCGCCGCGGACGGCTTTGGAATTTCTGAAATAAAAATTATCCAAGCTTACGACAAAACTTAACCTCTCCAATGGTATTCTGATAGTTCTTCCATATCGGGAGAATGAATTTCTTCGCTTCGAACCACATCGGGCCCACAGAATTATCCGTGCAACGGAGTAACGAATTTTCGTGGAAGAACCCAGGGTACTTGGAAACGTCCACGAATTTTAGGGGCGTTTATTTTAATACTCGCCCTCGAAACCAGTCTGCTCGATGGATTTAGAGTGGTCGGGGATTACCTAAGCGTTTCGAATATTCAAACCACTCGTCCTTCGGGCAAATTAGTCGAAAATAACGAGGCAAATCGATCGTATTATATTTATGTAATAAATGTTAACAACGTAAATCGATCGCTACACTAATTGAATTATACAATATTTTCTTTTAATCCTCTTGCTACCTCCTGTACAATAAATTTGTGCATAAACTGGCTGTTTGCAAAATTCCTAACCTAACCTCACTTTGCATAACGCAACTTGTTAAACTGAGTGGTCGCTTCTCTTGTAGTAATACTGGAATAAAGTCTATTTGCAATTTTCAGAAATAATATTTCATTGGCGACAATTTTCCTAACCTAACCTCGCTTCGCACGATCTCCCTTGTTTGGAAGGAACCAACGACCAAATTTCATTGGTTAAATTGAGCGGCGCGAGCTTCTCTTGTCGCAATCCTTTATCGAACCTCGAACAAAATCTATTTACAATTTTCAAAAATAATATCGAACAATTTTCCTAACCTAATTATACAGAATCTAGCAGAATAACCTGATAGTTTTAAAAAGTAAACGAGAAACTAGCGAAACTTTTATTGCACAGTCGGAAGGAGCAATATTTACCATTTCATTTCCTCAATTTTTTAACACAAACCGATAAGACAGTGCTTGGCTGAGGACAGAAAATAATAAACACCGTTTTCCATTCAACTTTCAAAACCGGGAGATTATTCTTCCAGACAAGAAAGCTGTGAAAAAAATGAAAGTTTGGAACACTTGGATGTATCGTAATCTTACCGTACAACCTAATCGAGCCTTCAGTATCGCCGAGCGAGTTCTTGCTGATGCAACGGTAGTTGCCAAAGTCGCCTGCCTCGAGGTTCCTAATGGTGAGCCTCATGTAAGCCCTGTAGCTGTTCTCCATGCTGTTCGCCGTGTACTTCTCGTTGGACAGTAGCATATCGGTGCCGAGGAACCAGTAGTTCATCGCCTTCGGATAAGCTTCTGTGTGACAGTCGATCGTTACGTTGGTGCCAGCTGGTGCACCGACCAGCTGATTCGGCACGAAGATCATCGGTGAAACTTGAACATTAAACGGGGGAAAACTGGTGGTTACGCGGCCTTCTCCTTTCATCGTGAATGAATAATCGTCCTCTATGACGTTCACGACAACGATTAGCTCGACGAGGATGTTTATGGAGGGGTTATACCTCCAGCCGTTCTACGATTTATCTTCCATGAAATCGCTGACCGTGAATTATACCGACCCATTTCACCGATTATAATGATCGATAGCCGCCGGTGCTAAACGAGAGATAGCTGCTGCTACGAGACCGGTGGAAAATGTCTCCAATTCTTATTCTAATGTGTTACCGATCAGCCTAGTGCAGCGATGGCGAACCTTTCGAGCTCGGAAAAACGTAGCTTAACTCGGATGCTGTGTCACATTTAGATCACGAACTCGCTATGGTTAAGCTCCGAATTAACGATACTGAACCTCGTCGATAGAAGATAGACACCGTTGTGTAGTATCGGGGCCTCCATACCCAAAAAATAGGAAACCGGCACGGGAGAATAGGGAGGGAGTGGTTGGCGTAGCGCGCAAAGCCTCGGCTTGGTAAACCGAAGGTCCCGGGTTTGGGTCCCTCAATATTTTCCCGTCGTCGGTTCTTGTTTTTCGTTGTTGTTTGTGTGATGATTATTTGTGATTTGCTCGGTTTCGGCTGTGAGGTGACTTAAGTCGATGCGTGTCGCCTTTGACACGCGTGTCATAGGTTCGCCATCACTGGCCCAGTGTATAGTCAGAGGAAGAAATATAGCGAGGTTGGAAATTAAAGCGTTATAGTGACACTTAAGATCGAATCAAGGCTAAGGCATATTTTGTGAGACACTTACTGAGATTTTTCGCAGGTTTCTGTCGATTCGCTTATTGATATCGTAGGATCGCGGGGGAACCGGCTCTTTTCACGAGGCCTCAACGAAGCATGTTAGTTTTAGTCGTTGCGGGGAAAACTCGGGAGTGTGTGTGTGTGCGTGGTGGGAGTATGAATGTTTGGGAGAGGATGGAGATAGTGGAAGAGAGGAGACCTCGAGTGAAAAACGTGGAATATAGTTTATCGACCTTAGATCTTCTATTTTAGTTTCTTATCGAAGAAAAAATTGAGGAATCGAGAAAAAAATTGAGGGGCCCAAACGGGAATTGAACTGGCGACCTATAGTCTGGCAAGCCGAGCCTTTGCGCACTAAGCCAATAACCCCTCTCTTTTTTTCCTCGTTGGCGTTCTTTATTTTAGGCATAGAGGCTCGAAGGAGGAGAGGAACGTCTGCTTGATTTATGCGCGTACCCGCGAAGGTAGAGGCTACAGAACGAGAAGTGGCGCAATTTGTACGTGAAACGTTCCAATGGGAACAGTTATATTTTTATCCTGTTTCAACGAGTACAAATTAGTGACTGCTGTTTCAATTAGGTCCATCAAATTTTTAAATGGTAATCTGACTTATGGAACATCCTATATTATGTTAAAATATTCAACCCTTTGACAGTTTATTCGAGCTCCTGCGATATGTCTGAAAGTGTAAACTTTGACGCCTGGCCCATTTTGCAACATCGCCGTATTTCTTTCTTCGACTATACGTTATTGTTTTTCTGCCTAAAGGCAAATCTCTCACTCGCTCACTCATGCTATACGACGGATTCTTACAAATTCTTTAAATATCAGTTGACGAATACCAAAGATAGAAGACAATTCTTCGATTCAACTTTCTCGAAACTCCGCGAAAAATTCTACAACTCTACAGTCAACCCAACGAAAAAAAACCTTCCCTAGGAAAACGAAACGAGTAGTCCAATCTACCACGATAACACGACGCAGTTTAACATAATCGTGGCATCTTTCCTTTTCCATTCCGTTCATCCCCTGGCAAATAGAGTTTCTTCAGGATAATTTCCCGACTTCTGCGCCATTCCTCGCGAAAAACCGGCGAACCTTCTCCTGGTTCCAGGTGAAAAACATTCCTCCACACGTTGCAAGGTTACTCCCAACCACAGCGTAGAACGAAGACACCACAAGGATATCCCCTGCTCTTCGTCGTTCCCGTGGAATTGATCAAATGTAAATACGGCCCCGGATAGCCGACTGTACCGCGTGGAAAATAACCACGCGGCGTCTGCAGTTTAATTCGACCGGAATAAACACGGAACTACCCGGTGAAACTTTGTTGCGGCTGCACCGAACCACGGATTAGGGTAGCGTACAGGCCAATCAACGTGGCCCCAGTCGAATTGGATGGTCCTGTTCGCAAGGGTGCAACAGAACCTGGAATTCTTTTCTCTCCCCTCTCTCTCTCTCTCTTTTTCTCTCGAACGTCTATCTCGTCCACAGGGGTGTGTGTAACGTTTCAACGTTTGAACAAGTTATTCCGGAGCAGACTAGGTGTAGAACACGATTACAAGTGGCTGGCTATCTAGTTTACGGATTAATCACTAGGATACAGTTTCGTCTAATTCGATCAGCCTTTCCATCGGCGACTTCTCTGAGCAAATTCCACGTTTAATCCGAAGAGGCGCGTTTCTCCAGGAGATCCGCTGTGTCTAATCAACGTAGCCGCGAATTACCAGCGATTAATCGCACACGAGAGGAAGGGTGGTTTTGTTACGTAGGCCTAGGAGAGATGACCGGAGGAACAAAACTGCTGGCGAACTGAACGAGGTTAACCGTAGACGAATAACATGGAGCACGCGGCGCAGCAACCATCTCTGGAGGCTGGCCATCGGCGGTATGCATCAGGCTCGCCACAAATCCACAAATTGCCAGCGCTGACCCTAATTAACGCATACTTCTCCCGATTTCCCACCATCGACTCTATCTACGTTCCCCGGTTGTTCATTCTACTTCAGCCTCCAGTTGTTTCCGCGTCTTTTCTCCCAATTTTCCCTGAGCTATCGACTCGAGGAGGAATTAATTACGGCGAATGTTAATTGACGATGCGTCGATTTTCTTCGATATCTCACGGGAGAATTGAGGGTTGATCGAGAGAACTGTGGAATAATATTGCAATAATAATGCATAAATTTAGAAAAATCAGAGACACAAGGGAGACCGCGTTCACCCCTTCACCGAAACGAACTTGCTTGTTTTCAGAAAGAACTTCCTGCCTCAGCGGCGTCTTAATCACCCAAATCGGGGGTGTAGCCGTTAATTACTCGGGGCAAAGAGCACTCTTCTCCTTCGAGTGCACAGTTATCGCTAAATCGAGCAACAAATCTAATCGGATTCTTCTTGCCCTACTTGGTTTATTTGCACGGCGAGAGAGGTGGAAGGAGGTGGAGTAGGAGGAGGATCGAAGTACCGTTGGAAAAGTTGGAAAGTCAACCTCGTGAACCTTCGATGAATTATTGTGTATAATTTAGTCCACCAAAGTAGTCTATCCAATAAGTACAATAAGTACAGAGTGGAGGGGTTAAGTTCGATTTTCAGAAGCTGGGAAGATTCTCGGGAAGGAAGTTGTAAGAGGAACGGAATAAAAACATGGAGAAACGAGGCCGCGGGAATCGTTTATTCCGTCACTTTAGCCTGTCCAAGGCTGGCTAGAATTTGTATAATGCCCCCCAGGAGGCTTCGAAGAGCATTAAGCGAGACGATCGCTGGAACTTCTGTAATCCGTCGAGGACACCTCAGGATCCTCGCGCGCGCGTTCATCGAATATCTTTTTCCGCGGTTCCTCCCCGGTAATCCTAGATAACCGTTTCACCCGTCATTTTTCACCCGTCAAGAGAAAAAAGGAAGAAGAAGAATGCATCCTAGCTCGAGTGGCCCCCTTTTGTCGCCATTCCGATTGAAATGATTATCTCGAGACGTCGATACGAATCGAGGAATAATTTCGATTCGTCGTTATTTGTCACGCGGAAACAGCTTAGATGTGAAACGTCGCGTCGCGAGTTTCTTCAACGCGTCCGCAGAAATGTCACCAGGTAAAGGTTTCCGAAGGAGATTCCTGGGTGATAGAGAGAGAGAGAGAGAGAGGGGGGGAAAGAGAGTCAATTCTGAGAGAAAATCGCGAGATTTTCGTTTGGAAAGAAAGAATATCAGAGACAGAGAGAAAGGCTGGGGGTGTTCTGCACAGCGATGTCAGCGAAAACCAAGATTTATCCCGTGCATTCGAACAAAATACGTCTTTCCTAAGCACTCAAAGGATGCAGCCACTATGTCTTGCAGTGTCGTTCCCTTTTTGCGACACGCTGTTGAACAAAGCGGGCGCAAATGGAATACGCGAAGCGAAGATCTCCTGGATATGACCGGGATTAAGGCGGCGGAACCGTTTTCTCTGATATTTTTTTGAAGGATGCTTCAACTCGGACAAATCGTACGGAAGAAAAGTGGAAGGATTGTGGTTTTAGTTAACGGGGATGGGTAAGCCGGCTCTATCGAAGAGCAACGAGGATTTTTACCGTCCCTGAATCGAATTACACTTACTCGTCGTCCTTAAATAATAAAGGAATAATTAGCTGGTTATTGTAGCTCACAGAGAAGAAATTTTTCGCTTTTACTCTATTCTTCAAACGATCCCCGTATCGTTGTCACGAATATCGGTACTTGTTTTTGCATCAGCTGACGCGTATCGAATACGAAACACGGGACAACATTCCCGGAGTTATTATAGCTCACCGAACATTGCGTTCATAACGATGACATGGAGGCAAATTAACCTCCACCCAGGTGCTAGCAAACAGAGAAAATCATATATTCCTAATGTGGGATTTTGTTGATTACTTTTTATGTATAGTTGGGGCCACGATATAGCGAGGTCGTAAATTAAACTCTCAAGAATCGGCATCGATTGATGTTGCGGCACAAAAGGCCGTGTGTTGCAGTCTGTTTGAGGGTTCCAACGATAAACGAATGGTAGCATATGATTTGGTACTTCAAGTAGAAAATGGTATTTCATTTACAAATGGAAAATATGTTAATATTAAAACTACACAATCCTTTTGCATTTTCTATCTGTATATGAAGATGTTAAAGACCTCAATAAGACCTTTACTTGTAACCGTACTTCCAAAAGCGGCTTTTCCCAGAAGAAAAAAACCCTAAATTGTCCTAGCTGAACTCAATTTTCAGTAAATATATTAGAATCAGTTTGACTTTCGCTGGATACAAGAATTCTTTGTACGGTCCTGACCATGGTTTCAAGTACTTATCTGCTCGTATTTCTGTCAATTTCGGGGTCCCGGCAGCTAAAACATGTTTACTTTGACGCCTAACCGATTTTACGACCTCGCTATATCGTGGCCTCGACTATATGTTAAATTGAAGTACCCCACGCGTCGCCGGTGCTGTTCACTAATATTATCTTTATTTGTCACAGAAAATGTAATTCGCTCTCCTAAGATCCACGGTTCGATGCTTCTCGTTCGCTGGTCAAACACACACACACCCTACTCTTCTTCTTTTTCTCCAACACACGCATCCACACACTCAAACACGCCGCGATCGGCTTGACAACCCATGTTATTATCTAAACATAAACAAATGCGCCACGCACGATCGTGTTTCATTCGTTCTTACTTTCCAGGCCATTCACACCAACTCTCCCCACATTCACTCTTTCATACCAAAAACCCCACACTAATATTCAAGGTATTCAAATAAAAAGTATTAATTATTAATTTGCATTGAAAACGAAAAAGCTCGCACAGTGTCCGAACACTTGTCAGACAAACTGTACTTATTTCCGTCGAAGCAGCTTTGATCTAAACGATACACGGCTCACCCTATTTCCCGCAAAATCTTCGCGTGCATCAATCCGCGTCTAATTCCCAGACCGGCATAATAGAGTAGCCAGAGGGAGACGGAGGTGAAGTCGTATCTCGAGACTCGGGTAAAAATTATTCAAACGCGTGACGCCAGCTGGAAGGAGGATAGAATAGGAGTGGAAGGGAGACAAAAGTGGTGGAGCGGGAGTTCCGTGAGCGAGGCAGCCGGAAGCTGGCTGTTTTCTCGCCGGTCTAAATAAAATATGTCGGCGCCCTTCTAAATATTCAAAGGACAGCGGCGAGCTGTCCCGTGCCCTCTGTCGCGTACGCACACCAACCTTCGCGTCAAGTGACACGAACGAATGGAACGCATAAAAGGGAGAAATGACCAGGAGCAATGGGACGTTGCTAGCTGCACGCTCCTGTCGACCTACCCTCGTATTTCCCCCGGGTTTTCCTAACGGCGCATCTGCCCTCTCCTTCTTCCGCGTCCAATCGTACGCCGCCGCGAGCTACCTTTCCTATTCGTCAACTGATATTTAAACAATATGTAAGAATACGTCTCGCGAGCGAGCTAGAGATTTGACGGTGGACTGAAGGACAGTTCGACGTAGATTGCGTGGAAGTTTGCAGGGAAGTGACTCGAGGGGTCTTCCTACTGTGGCGGCTGAGAGAAACTTGATTCTTTGGAAATTTCAAATAGAGCAAGTGCTGCATGGATTCTTTTGTGAATTTGTGTGTTTATTCTGTCATCTTTTAAGAATGCAAGAATATTTTTTGTAAGTGAAAATGTCCATTTGTTGTGAAATGGGAGCACCGTGAAGAGAGCGATGGCTGACACGATAGCAGACGTTGTATTTATCTAAAATGCAAACGTATTCTTAATCTGTAGACATGTGGCTATCGTGTGAATTGGAATGATAGAAGAATATTGAAAAATAATTTCGATTTTAGCAAAAAAGTGACGGTGTTTTTTACTGTAAAAATTGAATTTTGAAAGTGTTTGCACAATTCTTGTTCAGGCGATAAAGCAGCATCTACTGAATATACCTGACAAATTTCGAATGGATCGGACCTCTGGTTTTTTGGTAATCGTGTCAGCCAGTTTCGAGAAAAACCTTCCTTTGAAAGCATACACGTATCTCGGCCAATTTTGAGAATTAAGCTCTGAAATTTCGCGGACATATTTTCCAGATGTGAAACTACAAGAGAATGCAAAAACATTTATTTTTCTTCCATCGACTATACCACGAAGCGATACACCATCCTGTCCTAAAGTAAAATTTTTCTATCATAAAACAACCATAGTCATTCTGTCATAAACAATCGTGCACCCTTCTGTCTCACCTCTACCTCACCTTCCCCCTTTTCCCTCGATTTTTCCAACATCTCCCCGAAACTTCATTTCCCCGAATTACAATTTCCGTACTATACCGGTATCAGCTATCCACTGTTTCAGCTTCGCGTCGTATAATGAGAAAGGTTGAAAATACTCTCCGTCCCTCTCCCATTCCCCGTCCTTCGTCAATAATAACAATCTCTCGTATTTCCGTGTTTCTTTACGTATCTTTGACAAACAGAGACCACTCGTTTGTTTAAATAAGCCCGGATAACACAGAAATACGCGGAAAGAGGAAGAGACAGAAGGGGTAGAGATTAAAAACGTCAGGTCGCTATCTGGTGTTCGCGTGGCTGGCCTCTGATACGCCAACGGGAACCGGACGAACTCGCGCAAATCCGAATGATAATATACGTATCTTGAAATCCACTCACATTCGACGTCCACGGTGATTCTCTTGCTGACTGTTGGCGGCACGCCATTGGTCGCGATGCAGAGATACGCGCCCATTTCATTGCGCGTGATCCTCGTCAAGTTTAATTGCTCGCCGTCGTACACGGGCACTGTAACCAAAAGCAGAAATTGATTCAGCCCGGTCGGCCGTGCAAATATAGCGCAGCGCCCGGAACAAACAGTCGCGTTCGACATAAACGTATAAACAGAATCCTCCGAAGAGAGGACCCACCACACAGCCCACACCGGTTTTATCGGCGAAACTTTCTCGGTTAAATGAAACCCTTCTTCCGGGACTGGTTGTAAAAAAAAAAAAAAAGAAAAAAAATAGAGAGGGAGAAAAAAGGGGGAAAGGGGTACATAGAGGGAGAGTGAGTACCGAGGTAAACAAAAAAGAGGGAGAGATGGGGGAAAAAAGCGAACCTACTACTGGAACACGCATCAATCTACCGAGCGAGTTCTCGTGTCCTTTTTATTATTCCTGGCGTCACCGTTTGCCTTTCCTTTATCGATTTTCTACCGCTAGATTTTAATTACAAGAAAACATTCCTCTTTTTCTGAAATAATAATAACGACGACAGAGATTAAGTGGGCAATTTTGAGGGATGGATGACTTGGCGGGAGATTTGAAAATAGAGCGGAGGTTATAAGAGTGCTTAATTTGTGACTCTTAGGAAGATTCTCCATTTCATCTTGCTCTGCGTCGAAAGAAAAGAACGTTGAACGAAAGTATGGTAATTTCAGGCGTCATGTGAAATCGTAAAGAACGAAGAGTTTAATTGAAAGTAGAGAGGCGTATTTCGAACTCGCGCAGAGACGTTCCGAGTTACTTCCATGCAACAATCCACCCTTGAT